CTTGGTCTTGAGAGCAGTAAATTAAGCTTCCAATGATTGCTTAATTTGTTGGTATCGGTAAAGGGTCAATGTTATAATCTAAGTTGAAGGCAAAAATTGCTTTCTTGTTAAGATATGTACGAGTTCTTTTTCGCAGCTGCAGTGGTTACAACCTTAGAGGGTTACTAATCTTATATAACACAACCCACAATGAAAAAACTTAACGGTAAAATGATTTGATCTGAAAATCAGAAATTCTAATTAATAAGATTTCAAAATTTATTATTAGGTGGGTTTTATAACTACGTAATACAATTATTTGCAATCAATTATGGAATTTTTTATATAATAAATATAAAATTGAAATCCCTATTATCAAACCCAAACTACGTAATAATGCCATTAGTCAAAAGGGTTGAGTAGCAACACTACTCGGCACTAATTGAATTTTCCCTAAGGAAAACTTTCGAGATGATTGATCGGCTTGTGTTGAAAATCTTTCAACTGCTTTGTTGTGATCGTCTATCATTGCCTGGACAACGAGATACTCTTGATAAGGATCAAAATAACGAAGAGGAAGGAATACGGTATTTGCAATTGCTTCCTGAACTATTCCACGCAATTTCAAATCATCAAAAAATAATTGAAAAGACTTTACGTGATGTACACGATCATCCCATAAATAAATTGAACTAACGGAAGGGTGATGCCGAAGTAATTCCTTCATAAATGCGAGTTTAAAATCCTTCGTAACAACCCTAACATTACTACTTTCCATTATTGTTTCATTACGGATGAGTTCTTCATATTTCATAATGCCAATTTTTTGGATAATTGATGGCCCATAATACGAATTCCAATTTAAAGTATTTTGATCCTTATCAAGAGTATCTCGTTGTCCAGGCAATGATAGACGATCCGGTTTGAATCCTAACACGTCGAATTTTAAACCCGTTCGTTCTACCATATCCGTGATGATATGACGAAACTCTGAATAGCCACGTCCAGTAAGCAATACTGTTAATGAAGTTGGATGATCCATTGATTCACGAACGAGTTTTACAATCTCGTCATTCCACCACCCTTTCCATCTTCTTCGTCTTACTGATTCATCAAAGCTTAACGATCCTTTATGTTGGTACCATCCTTTGTAAAACATTGAATCATTTTTGAGGTATCCGAATAATGGATCCATCCACAGCTCGCGATTTGG